CAACAAAGTAAACAGACACGCTCGAATATCATTTTGTCGTATGCCGACAAACACCATGGCAACTAATTTAACTTGCACAAAGATTGACTTGCCACCAGTACACACCCAGACAAACATGCAGTTGCCATTCTGGTAGGTAAACAGAACGACAAAAATATAGTGATGGCAATGTTCAAATGCCAGTTGCCATGTGTCACGAACACCGCATCATCTAGTTTAAAACGAAAATGAACTACATAGTTGACATATGTTACAAAAACAGAATGGGAACCACAAAAGGTGGGCATCTTTTATTATTTGCCATGTCTTGACAAACACCATGGCTGCTAATGTACTAAAATCACCTACTCAGTTGCCATCTGTTAGGAAAATAGAATGGCAACAAAGTAAACAGACACACTCGAATATCAAGTTGTCGTATGCCGACAGACACCATGGCAACTAATTTAAATTGGAACAAAGATTGACTTGCCACCGGTACACACAGAGACAGGGCAACTAGTGTTTATGGGGAACATTGGAGTTGCTATCTAAATGTATGAAGGGTACGATAACTTCAAGCACAATCAACATATGTAGTTGCCATGTTTGGGTATACGGCATAGGCAACTAATTATGATCAACACACACAAACATTGTAATCAAAACCTAGTTCAAAATCAAAGGAAACTAGAATCTACATAAAATGAATCTAGGGTTCACGCTGTGTTCTAGGTCTTCACTGCATCAAAATAAAGACGACCAAAATGACGTGAACACACTGATTCACTGCATCACTGCTCTGGTTTCACAAAATGAGGGATAGTGCCAACCATTGCTTGGCAACCCATATAAATGGATGAAATCTAGAAGGGAAATGAACTGTGCGATTCAAAGCAGAGCATGAACCCACAAGGGCGACTAAATGAACCAACCAAACGTGCAGTGATCAACGAGCCGCCCTTACGTCCCACCGGCGACTCCTCGAAGAATCCACCAAATAGAAACGGAGATTGCCATGGAATCGTCGTTGATTTGAGACGTAAAAACAGAGATTGAGGGGGAGTGGAGACGATTTCGAGCACATTACCTCCTCTCCGGCGGTCTCCGGGGACTATGCAGCGCCTACTCGGGCGCAACCGCCTGTACGACGACGCCACGAGCGCCGCCACCGTATCGCCGAGGAATCGCCGCGAAATCGCCTCTGCGCCGCCGCCGAAGCGCAATGCGAGAGAGAGAGAGAGAGAGAGAGAGAGAGAGAGAGAGAGAGAGAGAGAGAGAGAAAGGAGGAAGACAGAGGGGGAGTAATGGAATGCGGGCGGACTACAGAGAAATGTCGCGATGTGGAGAAAAAAGAGTGCGGGTGTGGCGTTCGTGGGCGTTCGGGCGATGTGGCAACCGCCCGCACGGCAAGGGTGACAACCGTCGCCCAATCCGCTGCGGTTCCACCGTCCGGGCGAGTCGAGAAACTGCCGCACAGCGACCACACATGACGTGGCACGCGACCCCCCTCCTCCTTGCTCCAAGATTCGAGCAAATACATCCGATGGCTCCAGACGCGTTCGGCCCAAGTTGCAAACGCCCACAGTGTGGGCGTTAACTTTTCCGAAAAGAAAACAACCGTTGAAGCCAACCCAACCAGCCCATCGCCACCAAACGTGACCTTAACTCGGAACGTCTGTAAGCAAAATCTTCAGAGACACCTCCAAAAAGGTAATGACGCCTAAGGACGTCGTCATCATCGGCATCGACCCCCTTCGATCGAAAGGCATTCGCACGGGCTCACACATGACAGCCCCACCGAAACCCGGGATAGGCCCAGCCAAGCGAACAACCACCAACGCCACTACCCCTCCGTCCGACCATGACACAATGAGAGGAAGTACTCTTTGACAACGCCTCCCAGGAGGAGGAGGGCAACCACAAGTGCCAACATCACCGGGAATGATCCCTGTCGGAGGACAAGGCTTTTGACTAGAGCCTTATACCTCGCCACCTCTTACCCAGAGTAGGAGCCAGTCCACTGCGAACCTCTCGAGAATGAGCCACGACTCCTCTCACATGCATCAGCGGTGAACCAGACCAAACGGAACAACAGGGACGCCATGGCCACCACCTCAGCATGGCGGACCGCCTGAGTTGATGCCAACGCCACCACCAAGGGGGTTGCGATGAGCCACAATGCCACAACCACCATTGCATCCACTAGCGGGGCCAACCTGATCACTACCCATGGCACCACCAAAGCGCGAAGCCACCAGTCAGAGCAGCTCCGCCGCTGCCACCCGTACCATGCAAAGCCGCCAGTTGGACCACTTGTCACCACCACAGGAGCCGGATCTAGCTACACCAGGTTAGATCCGGCACCCCGCAGCATGCGCGTCACCTGCAGCCAACCCAACCAGCACCAGGCGTCACTAGCATGACGGAGGATGTACAGATGCAACACGTTTTTGTTTTACTGTCTTTGTTCTAAGTTATTTCAAGTTATAGTGTGTTTCAAGTCTGACTAATTTAAATCTGGCTAACTCTATTAAATCATATTGATGTTTACAAACATTAAATTAACGAACGTTAATAGGAAGGAAACATGTCTTTCCCGATGCCCATGGAGCGAATGATCGTGCGCTCCGGGGGTCCCTCACAAGCGAATGGTGGTGTTCGCGTCGGGAGGCAGACACGTACGATTGCATGAAGGGTCCTTCCTCCAATAATGCTTAAGGGCATGTACAATGGTTCTATCTTAGGAATGCCACATATGATAAATGATGAGGTGGAGGAGAGAGAAATCATAAGAGAAGGCTTGTCTTCTCTTAATTAAGAGAAGGCAAAAGATGATCTCTTAGCACAATATGTCTCACCACATTTTTAGGAATAACTAGTTATTGAAGATAAGGCTGAGAGATAACCCATTGTAGACATGTTTTTTTGTCATCTCTAAATTACATGCAAGATTTAAGATAAGACTACCTTATCGACCATTGTACATGCCCTAACCTATGGTCAACCAACGTAAGATTTATGTGCTGACTAGGTAACGAGCTCATCTGGCTGCAAGCCCACGTCAAACGAGGGAAAAAAAATACTCCCTCCGTCCGATAACGTAAGACGTTTTTTCACACTACACTAGTGTCAAAAAATGTCTTACATTATGAGACGGAGGGAGTAGGAAAGATATAATGCCGCTGTTTACACAACAAAAACCAGAGTAGCTCTGTTTTTCAAGATTGACCAGATCTTTCCCTCTTGGTTTTAATCGTCTAAATTGTTGAACGAGATTTCTATGCAGAAACATAAAAACAGGTGCACCTAGTGTATTTTGCCAATCACACTATAGAGTGTGGTGCCGAAGCACACGACGTTGCGTGTTGTGCCTGACGGATGACAGCGAGGAGATCAGGTTCAATTTTTGTATCATTCTTCCACCATCCACCTTGAATATAAGGAAACATCAGATGTTTATCAGTAATAAATAATGGAAGCTATTGCAGTAAGTGAAAACAACTACTCCCTCCGTTTCTAAATATTTGTCTTTTTAGAGATTTCAAATGAACTACCACATATGGATGTATATATACATATTTTAGAGTGTAGATTCACTCTTTTTGCTCCGTATGTAGCCACTTGTTGAAATCTCTAGAAAGACAAATATTTAAAAACGAAGGGAGTAGATCATAAGCCTCTGACATGCATAGAACATCAAACAAATAAGACTTTAAAGAGAAAACAAAGATAAAATATAGTACTTCAGTACAATGAAGGCTTTAGAAACACCAAGAAAAACAAATGAACTTTCACGAAACCACATGAATGGAAGAAAGGTAATGTCCCAATGCGACATAAAAATGATTTTTGGTCGCACCACATAAAAAAATGTTTTTAGCGATACAATTGGACGTTTTTTTAGGCAATATACTATATGAAATAACACTCATGGGTGATTTTTGTTATGAAATATTTCATTGCTACAAATATTCATAAATTTCTTTAAAAAAGTAATATGAAAGAAAACAAAGCATGGTGAAGTTGGCATTTCTGACCATCGCCAACCCGGTCAACCTCGGGGTTTAACTCATTGCATCCCTAAACCCGCATTGAGCGCCCAACTTGCCATTCCCCACCGCTTGAACCAACACGCGTTGCGGTCTTACACTACCCACCACGCAGACATATCACAACTCTAGGGGAGAGTATAGTGGGAGTGAGGAGGTTCGGTCCCACTATGCAGAGCCACTAGCGTCTTGTTGATCATATTTGTTGACATGTCAGCTAAGAGAGATGTTCTCTTCCGACATCCAAAACAATAATCATAAACCTTGACATTGAGAATGACAAAATTTTGATGTAGAGTGCCACTACCCCCTCTTTGAAGTGAAACTCTCATCAGGTCAAGCAAAATAGCATCTTAAAAAAACCATAACAAAAATAGCATTTGGGTATGTCTAACGGAACATATAGGAAAACTAATCATTGCAAGAGAATAGAAAAAAAGATGACGACTTAGTGTCGTGCTCACTTAAATTCCATGAGACTGACCACTTGGCATGAGTGGTAAGCTATATCAAAAACAAAATTCCATGAGACTGAAGTTGCCTCAGAAAAACAAATGGTTCTTTTCGAGAGCTTTTTTTGAGTCAAAATGACTCCGAAGAAAAAACTTTGTTGGGCGAGGTGGGCTAAGAAAGCTAGGAAAGAAAGTCATAGGAAAGAGAGGCTGAAGCCCATCTCAGTCAGTTCACTGGGCTACAGCCCGTGGTCTATTGCAGAGCCTTATCCGCCACGTCACGGCTTACCCGGTCAACGCCTAGGCTTGACTTCCCCGCACCGCCAGCGCCCAGCGCGCCATCCCGACCGCCCGAACCGCCACGCGTCGCGATCCGACGGCCCTCCACCGCCGTGCGTGACGTAGCTCGAGGCGAGAGAGCAGAGGGGAGTGAGCGAGCAGTTCCATCATCAGTTGGCAGTGCCAGCCGCGGATTACGCATCTCACGCGGCGCCGCCACACACCACACCACACCGCGATGGCCGATCTCCACCTCCTCCACCCGCCGGAGCCCGACACCAACGGCGGCGGGGCCGCCGCCTCCGCCTCCGCCGCCGCGCTGCTCCTCCCCGCCGACCCCGCGGCCGAGGCGGCGGCGGCCGCGGCCGCGCCGGACCCCCCCGCGCCCCCCTACTCCAAGCGCCGCCGCCGCCCCAGCGTCCGCCTCGGCGACATTGGCGCGCAGGCCACGGCCTCCGACGCGCAGCTCCCGCGCCGCCACCGCAAGCCGTCCTCCCACCCGCGCCCCCCGCGCCGCTCCCACCCGGACGACGCCCTCGACCCCGCCGCCCGCGCCCGCGGGCCCAAGCCCGGCCAGCGCCGCCCGCGCACGGCCTGGATCCCGGCGCCCCACGGCGGCGCCGACGGCTACGAGGACGAGGAGGGCCACCACCACTACTACGACGACGCCGACCAGTCCGACTCCGCCGCCGCCGCCGCCCGGGCCGCTAGGGTTTCGGGCAGCCGCGAGGCCAGCGTCGACGAGTCCGACGGCGTCGCCGACTGGGGCCTCCCCAACGGCGGCGCGGCCTGCTACGGCGGCGGCGGCGGCGTCAGGGCCTGGCTCGACGGCCTCGGCCTCTCCCGGTACGCCCCCGTGTTCGAGATCCACGAGGTGGACGACGAGGTGCTCCCGCTGCTCACCCTGGAGGACCTCAAGGACATGGGCATCGGCGCCGTCGGCTCCAGGAGGAAGATGTTCGCCGCCATCCAGAAGCTCCGCAGCACCGACACCGTGTCCTGAGTTGGGTGAGACCTCCAGTTCCTAGCTAGCTAGCTTTTGTGCTCTCTCCATTTTTGTTTCCTCTCCCATAGAAAGCTAGTAGTGATGAGGGCATTAGCTTATGGTGCTTTCACCAATCCTAGTGTGTATATAGGCTTGATGATCCATCACCTTATCTCTGTCGCAATGATATGCTGTGGAGCACTAGTGGTTTGGGAGGAATTGTTTCAACTTTCAACAAGAAACTTGAAATAATGGATGGAATAAGGTGAATGCAGTCCCAGTATGTCGTTGTTATGTGCTCATAATTAATGTCATCAACTATGCTACTTTTATTCATTACTCGTTTGATTTCCTTTTCTTATAACACTCCTGATTCGGCTTTCCCTGCCATAATCGAAGATTCTAATTGGATCTCCATCACAGATTTTATTTCCGGAAGCTGTTGGAAATAATTACAAACCGAGTTTAAATGTGTTTATAGTACATAATATAAAGACATATTGTGCCTTCGTAACTAGATGCTTCAGGCTCTTGCTGCTTCCTACCAGAGGCCTAGTTTTCTTTCTTTTCTTTTAACAATTTGATCCAACACTATTTAAGGGCTGTGGTACCAAGGTATTGCAATTGCATTTCTGTATTGAAGGAAATTGATAGATTGTCATGTTTTTCAGTTATTTGTCACAGCCCATCTCCTTGCCATGTGGGTGTGCCCTGTTGCACCAAAATTGTAGAAGAGTTCTGCTTTGTTAACTTAGTTTTCCCTAAAAAGATGTTATGGTTTTATGGAACTTGAAGTTGGCCTGGTTAATAGCTAAATTCGGAGTATTTAGAGTAAGAATGAAACATTCCTATAATAGGGGCAAGGCTATCCGTGTATTACTTAAATGTACTGGTCGGTCAGTATGAAACGAAACTCATTCAAAATGGGACTATGCCACTATCTAGTAACTTCATCATATTTCATAGCATGTCTATATTACTATAGCAGATTATCAGGGCTATTACTGCAATGTACTCCCTCCGTTCCATATTACTTGTCTTCGATTTGTCTAGATACAGAGGTATCTATCACTAAAATGAGTCTAGATACATCCGTATCTAGACAAATTCAAGACAAGTAATTCGGAACGGAGGGAGTATATTGTTAAGATTGCTTTTCTAGTCACCCGCAAAAAAAAGGTTGCTTTTCTAGTGTACGGTAATAGTTAATTACCTTATTGGTCTTCTCCTTGACTGTTTTCGGGTGAAACCTGATTTCTTATTAGTATAGCAAGAGGATTGATTGTACCCGTACGTTCGTAGCAAGGGCCTATTGTTACAGCCTCAAAGCTGCCTATTAGATACATATAAACTTCTGCTTGTAGGGACAAGGTACCATAGAGCTTTGATTTGAACTGGAAATGGGCAACTCATCCTTGTCCAGCAAAGAGGAAACCTTTCACATGTGGGATTCCTCCTGCAGTCCTCTGGACTGACACGTGAGAATCAATGTTCTTATGACGGTAAAGCGTCCTAAGGCAAGCACCCACCGTGTTGACGCCTAAGTGACGACTGACGACTAAGCACCTAAGGCGTGCAAAGTTCTAACACGCTGCCAGGGCACCTTGCCACCTAAGCGTCCAAGGCAGGACACCTTAAAAACTATGGTAAGGATATGTTTAGTGCTGCAAAGAAGTAGATATGGCAGAAGCAGAACTATAACCACACATAAGTAGATCTTGCTGCTTTCTGCTTGAGGCCTAGTTTTCTTTATTTTCTTTTGGCATTCGATCCAATACTATCCAATAACTGTGCTACCAAGATATGGCAATTGCATTTCTGTAAAGGGCGGCCCGGTGCATGTAGCTCCTGCTTGTGCAGGGTCCGGGGAAGGGTCCGACCACTTTGGGTCTATTGTACACAGCCTTTCCCTACATTTCTGTAAGAGGCTGTTTCCAGGACTTGAACCCGTGACCTCATGGTCACAAGGCAGCAGCTTTACCACTGCGCCAAGGCTCCCCTTCGGCAATTGCATTTCTGTGTTGAAGAAAATTGATAATAGTGATGCTATTATACTATATCCAGTTTAAATTATGGTGCGATACTGTCAATCTTTTAAGTTATTCCTCAGTCACACAACCCTTTTCCTTGGCATATGGGTGTTCTCTGTTGCACCAAAGATGTGGAAGAGTTCTGCTTTGTTTAAGTTAGAGCTTTTCCTTACAAAGTTGTTATGGCTTGGTGGAACTTAAATTTAGCCTAATTAGATTTTAGAGGGAACTATGCCACTATCTAGTAACTTCATCGTATTTCATGCATGTCCTTATTAGTCATAGCAGGTGATCTGCAATGTACATTATTTAGATTGCTTTCCTTGTGTGCGGTAATAGTTAATTATTTAATTCAGCTTCTACTAAACTCTGTTTGGCTGAAACCAGGTTTCCTGTTAATGTAGCAGGAGGAATGGTTGTATTGTATCCGTACATTCAGAGCCATGGGGCTAGTGTAACAGCCTCGAAGCTGCCTATTATATTAGGATACATATGTGGATACTTGTCCTTTTAAGGGCGAGGTATCGTTACAACTTTGAATAGGAAAGGGGTAATTCGTCCTTGGCCAGCAAAGAGGAACACCTTTCACCATGCGGGATTTCACGGCAGTCCTCTGGGTTGACATGGGAGAATATGTGTAGTGCTTCAATGAAGTCGATACGGCAGAAGCAAAACTATAACCACAAGATCTCATAAGAACCCATTCATAGTTTTCTTTATGGCACATCGGCGCATCTTTTCCTTTGAATCTTTTCCTGATTATGGTAGGTATATATTCTCCAAATCAATCTGGTACCAGTTTTTTTTATTTTGACCTTACCCATCTTGTCTAAAAACACGTGAAAGATAGTTTCCTCTGAAACATGCTCACCTCTTGAGTTCCCTTAAGGCCATAGTTCGATGCATGCATAGAATACATCCGTCCAAAAGGCTATAGAACGCGCGCACATGACCCCTATGAGGAATATTCCATATCAAGTGGGAACTACTATTATTCACTAAAAGCAGTTCTCACAAAAAAGTCAACGCTAAGTGAACAGAATGATTTATAATTTTGTGAAACCGCGTCCTCCCAGTTCAGCCAATTTACATCAGTTATCTCTTCCTGCATCGTTCTGTGCCAACAAAACCTATACTGAACTTCTTGAGCATGAAGCCATCCGCAAATTGTAGTTTTTGTCCATCCTGAGGTTCATTTAGTGCAAGGGATTGACAGCTGATCATTATGATGAAAAGTGTAATGAGTTGAACACCACGCAAATATGGTAGCCTACTCTTATTATGGGCTTGAACTGTAACATTATCGAATCAGCAAAAGACATTTATGTGTCGCTGTGTTCTCATCAATTTTCATCCATCTCAAAACTTTCTTACAACTTCAAATTCATTTGTTTCCTTACATATCCTGTCTACTGACCTACCATTCACATTTTGCTCTTCTTCAACTTTGGTTGTCACATTATCATTTCCATGATGAGCACAGAGCATGTAGGGAGCTCAGAGTTTCTTATTATCTCTGACAGCTATGAATGGTTTTAACATGTTAAGTCCTCTAATATATAGTCTTTCAGTATGCTGTTTTAATTAATCTCTTGCTGTCCTGCTATGATGGGAGATAATTTAGAACCTGAAACCAAGCTGCTGTCCATAAACAGTGTAAAGTTGTGGTTTCATTTATAAATGATCTTTAGCGTGATATGTTAGATAATTGGCAACATTTTCCTCAATTAGTCATTGAATTTGTACACCAGGACCCACCACAAAGTCCACTAGTCCACTGCCTGTTACCAAACATTTTCCTCCCTAGCTAGTAGGAACATGTTGTGTTCTATTAACACTTATTTACAGTAGCTCTGTTGTGCCTCCAATACTGGTAAATTTCTGCAACATAGCTGAATTGATTTCTGATACTATATGCGCGGGCAATAAAAGGTAGATTCACTTATGCATTGCTTGTTATCTGCTTGTGTTCGCTATCTGGACTGCCCCACACCTCTTGTACCTGTAAATTAAAATGTAAAAGCTTGCAGGTCTGCAAGCTCACCGATTCTCAGAAATACAGAAAAGGAAAGAAAAAGGAGAAGATTATCCGGTCAACTGGCTAAAGGCATAAAAGGAATGCTAGTGATGAATGCCGGAGAGGGGGTTGCCACTGATTACTGTGGCAGGGTGGCAGCAAATGTGCCATGTCCTGTCCATGCCGCTGGGGCTTGATAGCGCCACAACGGCAGGCCATGCACGGTGCGCTCGCTGTCAAGGTAACTACTGGAATGTTTTGTTTGCATTATATGTTTGTAAACATGTTCTGTTTGCAAGCATGTATGTCTTGTATGTAAGGTAAGGGGCTTACCCGATGATGATCGCCGGTCCTTGGGTTAATTCTGTTGAGCACTAGGTAGGATGAATGAAATGAGCATGGGTCTGGGATGGGGTGTGTGGTAAGATGTACTCGGGTAGCCAGGGTGACTTGCCCATGGAACCGCCGGACGCCGAGCTCGGCTGGCAGGCGAGTTTCACAGGCAAATCATCCTTGGCTATCGGAGATGGCCTCTTACCCCTATGCAAGACCTCGCTCACCTGTGTCCTGTGCGCTGGTGCACTAGCTAAGTGATGATGCTTTCATGCCCTGGCTGGCCATGCGTATTTATAAGAAGGCGGGAGCCATGGGGGTCAGGTTAGGGGCCATGACTTTGGCGGCGAGGCATCTTGTTTGACGCAGCTAAAGGTAGCTAGAGTGAAGGAAGAATCTTGGCCTTTGACAAGCGGAAGGCGTCGATCGACCAGGCCAAATAACCACTCTTGCCTCACTTGGCTGCTGGATGTGAAGATCGATGTGTATCTTGCCTTGCCGCCTTTATTTCCTTTTCGGAGGGCATCAAGGGATTTGGATTTGGATTCATTTAGATTTGGGTTTGAGAAGGGGTTGTTCAGGTTGGTTGGTTGACCACTCGGGATGGGTTCCATCCACATCCACTTGCATTCATTCCC